CTCGCTTCGAGCGACGCACATCCTATGTCATCCCAGTGTTCAATACGATGGACACGCACATTCTATGACATCCCAGTGTTCAGTGCGATGGACACATTCCAAGATATTTCTCTCCACTCTGGGCCAATTGCTGTTACGATAGAGAAGATTCACTAACTCACACACTCTTTTTCTACCTTGTGGTTCGAATAGCTGTAATTTGGTGATGTGACGTTGAAGAGGTTTCACTCACTCACTCACGCTCTATATCTCTATTATATACCTCAAAATAGTGTTTACCAAGAGAGAACAAATCCTATATTTCTGAATAGTACTGTGCACAGAATGTTACAAAAGTGGACAAGGACAACGGTATATTAGTTTAACTTGTAACAAAAAAAACTTTCTTGGAAATCTAGTGCTAAGCCCTATCATATATTACAATAATACATGTTTCAATACACTCCGGCTTTGCGAAGATGTCGCTGTTGATCATGTATATGTCTCTAAGTTTATTTTTTGGCACCAATTCCTTATCCTTAATCTTGAAAAGGCACTAAAAGTATTCATGGACGTAGGCGAGTCAGAACTGGACAGTGATGTATGGTGTCAGTGACAGAAACATATCACCTTCTCCACGGGTAATGCTATACTGTGTTAGATCAAGATATAGTATTTCCTGAAAGATTATCTTACAAACGTGTTTTATTCACAAAATATGCTAACGCAACCCTATCTTACAAATAAACGACTTTCTGAAGTACAGATGGCATTTTTTCATAATTACATTTCCATACTCTTCGGAAGAAATATCATCTGTAGAAAATTCCACACGACTTGAAAAATCCAAACAATTATTCAGTCACGAAATCATTTGACACTGTTACAAAATGTATCCAAATGATCGCAGTGACGTCTGAGATTAATGAGGTTTCAACTGCAATCATGTGTAAAAGTCATACATTAAACGCCGAAGCTAGTGCCATTTCCACGTATAATCTTCTTGTCTCTTGTTGAGAGTTGCAGTAATTTTAGTTCAACACATCAGCTAGCAAGTGTTCAATGACAAAAGTGTTGCGCTGAGGGTTATAGTATGCTTCACAATACATTCCTACTTGGTAAAGTGAAATCGTCTTTGAAGAATGAGATTTCTGTGACACTGCAACCCAGCTCCCGCGCTACTTACGATAAAGAGCAATTTCTCGTGACATGGCAAGGCGGACAGGACACTTTCACATCAACTGACGTCATGCAAATGCAAAAAGATATATCATATGTAGTTACATATACACTTTAGACACAAATTAATCATGATACATTTGGACACCGCCTGGTCACATGTATACGCGGACACCGCCTAGATTCACATATGTTCGTGGACATCACTTGGTCACATATGTACCCGGATATCGTCTAGATTCACGTGTATATTTGGACGCCTCAGAGTCACAGGTATACCCGGATGCATTCTGGGCTCACATGTATGATTACTTTGACACTACCGAGTAATACGTATACTCAAACACCATGTAGCATCACCCATATCAATACATGGACATAACCTAATCACACGTATACCTACTTCTCAGACACACAGACAAACTCAGACACTACTTGGAGTGACCGACATATTCAGACACTCAGAATACGAACACATACTCAGACACCACTTGGAGTTACCAACATGTTCAGCCACTCACAATACACACACACAGACACTACTTGAAACAACCAACATGTTCAGACACTCACACTATATATATATATATAAACACACATACACACACACTAATACACACACAGACACTACGTGGAGTTACCGACATGTTCAGACACTCACAATTCACACACACACATACACACACGCGCGCGCGCGCACACACACACATACACACACACACACACACACTCAGACACTACGTGGAGTGACCAACATGTTCAGACACTCACAATACACACACACAGACACTACTTGAAACAACCAACATGTTCAGACACTCACAATATATATATATATATATATATATATATATAAACACACACACACACGCACGCACGCACGCACGCACGCACGCACGCACGCACGCACACACACACACACACACACACACACACAGACACACACTACTTGGAGTGACCGACATATTCAGACACTCAGAATACACACACATACCCAGACACTACTTGGAGTTACCAACATGTTCAGCCACACACAATACACACACACACACTCACACCAGACACTAGCTGGAGTTACCCACATGTTCTGACACTCATTAAATACATGCACACCTTTAGACACTACTTGAAATTTCCAACATGCTAAGACACCCACAACACCCACACATACACCCACCCACCCACACCCACACCCATACCCACACCCACCCACACATCCACACCCACACCCACCCCCCCACCCCCCCCCCACCCCCCCACACACCCCCCCCCACACACACACTCAGACACTAATTGAAGTTACCAAAATGTTCACACACACTCACAATACACACACATACACTCAGACACTGCTTGAAATTACCAACATGTTCAGATACTCACAAGACACACACACACACACACACACACACACACACACACACACACACACACACACACACACACACACACACACACACACACACACACACACACACACACACACACACACACACACACACACACACACACACACACGCTGTACTGAACTAAACTTAGTAGCCTGGGCCTGGATTTGTAATACTCATTGTTTCTAGTAATCCATGGATAACCAACCTTCCCGTGATTGTCTAGCTACAGGTTTCACGTGTATCTGTAGCATATGCTGACTGTTCTTATTATCATCATTCTTCGACAACACAACACTTGCAGGGTTGTAAATACAAAGAAAGGACATGTCGCGATACAAGGACACGAGGCTTAGTCGGGTAGTTTTCCTTGCATGGGACAGAGGAAAGTAAACTTTATTGCATATGTTCGTTAATAGTTCTTAATTACATCTTGTTATGTTATGACATGTCTCAGATCACATTGATCGATGTCATTGTAATACTACGATATATGTATATATAGTTCATTATGACCGCTGAGCGAAACTCAGGGTAATTCATACGAACCAGCTATATTAGGAATCACGTAAATACACCAAAAGGTCAATGGCGAGCATTAGTAATTTATTTAGTTCATGTTATATTCTCATCAAAAACATACTTTGTCCACGCTGAAAAACACCTCTTGAGAACAGTTCCACCCGAGGTGCGATACAGTGTCACCTGCAAGACCCTCCCGAGGTGCTTGTCTCAGACCACGCGCACTGAGAATACGCATGTATGTAGGACGTGCCACATATACCGCATTGTGCCTTCTAGTTTAAACACATGCCACATGCCTCGACTCGCGGACATAATATCATATTACGGATGACTGCCTCCATGTTGCGTGTTTTTCGAATATTAGTGTATAAGTAGAATACTCTGCGGTACGAGCCTCCATGAAAAAGATTTAATTTACTCCATCAATATATACGGCTGACATTCTTTTGCGTAAAGAGGGTTTAAATCAAAACTAGTAGCTTGAGGCGGTTATAGAACGTGAGGAATGTGTGTTGAGTACTAACTCGTCATGATTATTCAAGCAATTTATAGACTTTGGCTTTTTTTTTTTTTTAAACAACGCTTGTAATAGAAGCCAACCCTAACGAGAAAGGGCATTGATGATAGCATTTTGGAGATTGGTTAGACGAGGCGAAATGAATATGTGATATTATTTCGTGTTTCACGTAAACTGTAAATATTTCCCAAAAATGAGCGGTGGTGGTGGGGTCATGTAGAGATGTTGGGAATAAACCACACCAACACAAGTTCCATTCCAACTATATGTGAAACATGTACAATCGCTTAGGATGTTTGTCAAAATACAGCTAGCAGATGGTAGGTTATCCTATAACATATGCAAGAGGTGGTTATGTGAATCAATTAACCCTCGAGAAGTAGTACAGATAACCATCCCGTGATGTGTACTGTAACAGATGCAACTGCTGAGCGTCATCTTCCAGTGTGATGACGACATGAACTTCAACCTTTATCACGTGTCCAGTACCGGAACTAGAAAACACAGTCGGTACCTATACTCCCACCCGCCCAGGCTAGATAAAGCATGTCATATTAAAATTTCTTTGATATGTGACGTGATTTGTATACAATATTCGCAAGTGTCATAGTGCTGAGATGTCAAAACGAGAATTCGCATCATTCCTGGGCAATACACTGCCCCTGATGCGGTAATAAGTCAAGCTTTTCTAAATATTTCAAGTTTTTATTGAAGCTCATCTGTCTGATCAATTCGCAGCATGGTAATATCTCCTCTGAGAATTATGTTATATTTCAACCACATCTTCGATTATTTACACTTTTTAAAACATAATGAGGATTTCCATGAAGACCTTATGGATATTTATTGTCATTACAATGGGGCAAGTCATAATACTTGTTATACAGCTTTCAGAATGTCCCTTAACCGATTTGCTCGGACGGGCACATATTATATATGTTTACCTTTTTGACATACTTAATGTCTGTACAATGACACGTGACCTAATCAAGAAATTAATGATGTTTCAATCTTTCGTTATTTTTTTAAATCCTCTAACTTCCTTACATGAACAGTTCGCTAAGCATGCCTGTATTCTAAAATTAAAAACCCCATCGAATTCACTCTACGTGACGATGTAGATCAAGGCCTATATATCTGTCACACAGTAAATATAATTCCACCCGATTCCCTCGCCACTGAGATACACTGGATGGAAGGAGTGTGGGCAAAGAAAGGGGACGTCTTATACAAAATCATCAATATGGGCCATCTCTTCAACTGATTCGATTTGTGACAATTTATTTTCACAAGTTTGCGTGAAACTTTGTGTTGCGTCATAACTCTTTTAGGTTGTCCTGTGATGGGAGATTCACAAGAAGTATCTGTGATAGATTGTATGAGTGAGTTGCGAGATGCAGGGATTGACCTACCTGGTCTTCTCCTCCAGGTGAAGCCCCTCCCTTCTTCAACAGCATGACCAGCTGAGAGCGCAGGATGATGCCAGTAAACTTCATAGGAATGACTTTGCCCACCATCTCGTACATACTGTAAAATATACATAAATGTCTCTCGCACTACTTTTTACAAACAAATGTCAGTGAATGGGCAACGATAACACGGCGTTTATTGTCAAGGTCACGTTACTGGAATAAGACAAAGAAATAGTTTCCAGTCAAGTATTTTGAGGATGACAGAATGTTCATGCTGTAGCATTTAATCAGGTTCTGTGTAGGTACACCTTGTAACTGTGACGTGTGACCTTGAGATGTAACTGGTACACTGTAGGCAACCTTGAATGCGACATATTCGGAATTACATCACAGGCGCTGCTCACCACCTAACTGAACAGAAAGTGCGGTGTGTTGTCGCAAAAGGACAAATCTCATGGAAGAGCAAAGACTACAATATGAATGAAATCGATGTTATCTGATAAGAAAGAAACCTAGTTTAAAAGGTTACGTGCCACAATACTTGCTTTTAACCTGTTAAATCTGTGTATCAATATATCAGAGTTCTGACTTGCAAATATGTTGAAGTCTTCAGTGCATGAGACACATTACCCTACTCTATTGCATCTAGTCATTGCGTGCAACATATAAACCATGTATATGTCATTCTAAATGACCAACCTGTCACACAAGCTAAGATTACTTGTAATGGCAAACATACATCTGCAGCTAATTTATAAAGTTTCACAAATGACATTGTCACCAGGTTAAATATCATAATAGTGTCCTCGATTCAATCAAAGTCAATGTCACAATGAAGACCCTATATATAAATTCAGGTTCAACAACAAGAAGCTTACTTTATAATATGTAGCTATTGCAGCCATGAGCTTATGTTCTTTGTTTTCTGGATACAGGCAGTTTGCCATGGCAACATCCATAAAAAGGCTGAATCTGTTTATCGTGTTGAGATATGACATTGAGAACAGATATTTACTTGAGGGGAAACTGAGGGAAATTATCTCGTCGAATTTATAAGTGGTGATGTAATTATCTGTAACAAAGGTATGGGCATGTTGTTTGCCTACTGGTTTGCGAGTTGCACGTGTTCTGGTCCTACATCTTTTACTCTGTTGTTTGTGTACAGCTGTACTCTAATTACAGGGCATTGCTAATCAACAGTTCGCCTTGACGCGACGGGGAGCTGTCGTCATGGCTGTCTCCACCACCTCTTGCACTGGCTACACTCGCACACTTGTCGTGACGAGATCTCGTTTGGATTTCATTTTTCGCAGAGTCAACTTGAGAAACCACATGATTCAATGCAAGGAGAGTATGTTGTAATGACTCCCTTGCTGTATCCGTCGCCCAGGAAGCCACTGCAGCCACACGCCGTTGTTTCAATTTTGTACCACTTCATAAATACAGTCAGGTTGAATGTGTTGAATAGTAACCATCATCCACCAGACATGTTTAGGACCCATTAGAGAGCGAACGCTATGCAGTGCAGAGTGTCATTTAGAAATAGTGTTACAAGTAGTGACATACTATAATAACATATAGCAGTAGTGATATAAGTATAATTACACACAGAAGCAGTGATATAAGTCTGATAACTAGCCATAGCTGCTTAACGTGGTCAACCATCCAACTACTCTCCGAGACTGACCTTGCTTAACTTCACCTGATTTGTGATCTGCGCGCTGTGCACAGGACCACGTGCCAACACGCAGTGCTAACAGTATAGTAACATTTAGATGCAGTAGTACAAGTAGTATGACATGTTTATATTCGCGTCCATATGTACATTCATATTAAGTGTATCAATGTAACATCGAAGAAGCATGGCAGGAGATCGTTTGTTTACATTGAATGCACAACTTTTCTTCATTTGTTGACGTTGGTAGATATACTGCTGATGCCCAATCCAGCTGTGTCCGCCCTGTATCCTGAATGCTACATGCCATATCTTGTAGTAGCTTCATGACTCCCGACTGACATTCGCTGGAGAAGAATATACTATTCTAAGACAACCAACTATCAACCCCACAGCCCTGCCAACAGCAGGTTGAGATGCTCTCAGATGGAGAGTGCAGTGCCAAAGATCGCGGGTGTATCCCACACCTGCCTCTGCTGGCACGTCATTACCTCCGGACAACATGGACGGAAACATTCAACACTGAAATCGCCGACACTCATCAATCACAAGGAGTGTGTGTTTCATCCTATATTTCAGTCGGTATCAGTGCTATTGAATTGCTATAGTTTTCACGTGACGTCCTTAATGCCTGAAGCACCTATTTCCATATGTGAATAAACATCACTGAGGTTGTTAGAGACCTTGACAGGAAGCATTAATCATTCTGCATAATTGATATGAACATGGCTCGTGACGGGCAAGTCTGAATGTGTATGTGGTATCGTCGTTGTGCAAGTTAAAATAAACCATAATACTGACGATCTCTAAATAAAAGTGCTTTGTTTTATGTGATAGAAGAACACCGTACGAAGAACGATAACAAAAAGCGATAAACTGGAATCACGCGAACTTTACATCTCCGTTTATCGCCAAGTGTACGAGTCAGTCCACTGTGGGAATGAACATCTGAAGAACTAATTTGGCATGAAGCTATCACTTAGACTGTGATTGATTAAACCAGATGCCGTTTGTTGCAGATGACCATTTTGCGTTGTGTGATTGGTACGTAAATAGTCTTTGAAAATGTTTTAATCGCATGATACTTTCACACAGCCCTTAATTCCCCCATACTGCACAAACTCATGATGGACTACAGCAGAGTATAATACGTCACAGCTGCATATCAGGATGTGAACTTTCTATACTTTTTGTAAAGAGCTATAAATTACGTACAGTGCATTTCACTGATGTGCACAACCCTATTTATGAGGTTCGTATGTTTACAACATATACTTTAGTACAGGTAGCCATCTGACACACCTACAACCATTGAGTGATGTCACTTTTGTCATATCAAGCATAATAACGGCACAATAATGTTGTTTTCATCCAACGGTTGTTGACCTACTTGTCTCGGTGCCCGTCTTGAGGCTGGAGGAGGCAGTCCCCCTTGTCATCCTGTAATACAAGTAACAGACAGATTGCGTCACAACAGTCCTGTGCGAGTGTTCGGGGGTTATTTGAGGTACCTCATTATTATTTAGACCTGCAGAAATATTTCAAAAACTGTATGTATTACATTTAAGTTGAACACATGTATTTGTGTGGGTCCATCATTCACAGCCAAATCGTAACGACACCGGTGGAAGCATAATTTAAAAAATTGTGTTATGGAAATCAAAACAACATTTGCTTGACATCTCTTTAGTTGAACTGCATTAATCCGTTGACCATGACGGTACATAAAACAACCTTTGTCCAAATCTGCGTCATATCATGTAATGCCAAAAACTACCATTTGGAAGCAAATCAGGAGCAGTTTATCTTCAACGTCATATGCTTTTGTCAGTACTCAAGTTAATCACTCCAGATGTCTACAGACTTAACAAAACATGATATCTGCTGTAACGCCCAGCTCCAGCATACTGACTTGTTCAATGTCGGACTCTATATGTATTTTGTCAGACGGTCGAGGAATCGTCACGACGGGTAAGGCGTTGTAAACAGTTGTTTTGAGAATTCTTATCAATGTTGACACTCTCGTATGTGGGAAAATGACTGACAACTTTTTGCTCATAACATCTTTTGCTTTTAATCTGGAATACAGAGAAAAAGAAAAGGTCAAGTATTAATAACATCTCCATTACTATCAGGATATCGCATGACTTATTTCTCTGTTTCGAATGATCACGATAACTGGAGAACTTCATGGGAATGACGTTAAGAGTATAAACGTGTCTAGTTGTATCCAATGCAAACGGACACGATGCAGGGTGAATATATATTCTTTATCTATTCGGTTTATCGGCGCACATGCCGTGTACATAACCCACCTGCCTGGAGAGGATGTGGCTATGTCCGGTCTCACCCCTTCCAACCTGTACGACCCGTGAAGATCTGGGGTAGAATAGGTCTTCGGCAACCCATGCTTGCCGAAAAGGGGACTATGCTTGTCATAAGAGCCGACTAACGGGATCGAGTGGTCAGGCTCGCGGATGCATGTCATCGTATCCTAATTGCGTGGATCGATGCTAATGATTTCAATCACTGGATTGTCTGGTCCAGACTCGATTATTTACAGACCGCCGTTGAGTGCGGCGTTAAACAACAAACAAACAAACAAACCTACGTGTATGACCTTGTTGGTGCCTCCCACTCAAGGAGCGGAACCCCTCGTAGTTTGATGTGGATGTCATACAGGCCTTCGTTGAACAGATCCCCCGACCACTTGGCAACCTGAACACAAAGCCAGGAACAAACACTAGAATTATTGAGATGTTCTAAACATAAGTACGAAGTCACCACAGGACATTCACACATTATTGGCCGATTATAAGTCAGTACGTATGTGCACAGTTCTTCACATACTTCATTGGGTTGCTAAAACCTGTACAAAACCTCGGTACGTGTCAACGGACATGTTAGCTATCCTACTGTTTTGGAAAGTAAAGGTAAAGTTCTCTATCTCGATACAAGGATACCGTAGCTGGCTAGATGGAGAGCCCGATTCATGTGTTTCGTATTGATGCACCACACCGGTTGTAATCAAGTCTGTAACGTGGTGTGCAAGAAGTAACTTTGATATCAAGTGTCAAAGTCTACAACGGTGTATTGCCTCTGTTTAAGCGATGCATGTGCGTACAGTGATGTGCCGTCCAGGAAGGACCAAAGACCGTCTTGATCACAAGTCGTTCAATGTATGATACGGTCATCAAAGAAAGAACGAGGACCTACTCAGTCATTTTTTATTGCATTCTCGATTCACAAATGAATAAACTAAATAAACAACTTCATTTGAACCTAATAAATTACTGACAAACCGGGGTTCGCTAGCACCCGTTGTAAATAAATGCGACAAAACCTTTTTTTATAGTCAGCGTCGATTGTACGATTTAGATTTTGTTAAGGCAGAGGTCGTTATAAATTTGTCCATTGTCCAGTGGAAGTCCAGTACAGGAACTAGACGGCTTTAACAAAGTCTCTTAATTAGCAGTTGAACAGTATTAATTAGTAGTGCTAGACTCCTGCCGCTGTGAAACATTGAAGATAACCTTAATGAAGCTAGTGATACTTCCCTGACGAATTCTGTCAACTGGTCCACGTGACAATGTGATAATATAGGGTATGTTGTACACGTGTATGAGGACTGTGGGGACAGTGCAGAGAAGGATAGTTTACCATAAGTGTTATCATGAGAGGCATTCCATAGCTGATCTCATTGGTTGACTCTATCAAGATAACGGTGAGGCTTATGGTCATTCGGACAACGCCACCAAGAAACGATGCAGCTCCGATTAAAGCAAATGTTCCAGAGTAGATTGTCTTATATCCTATATAACTGGAAATAAAGTATATAAAACGTATATAACACTGTGAAGACCAAAAGGGGAAGCACAATGAAATGACTATAACTTAGAATGTATAAATAATTTAAGTTCCTTAAACGGTCATATACTTGGCTGACGATCTGTTCAGTAAGAAGGTGTTAGTTGCAATGTGTTTACTCAACTGCTTAGAGTATCTCGTTCTACTGGTTAATGGTAAATGAAAGTACTTGATCTGTACGTTCGGCTAATCACCTTAGGAGAGTCACAGAACTGTCCAGGTTCGAAGTAGTATTTCTCTGTTGATAAGACAAAGAGACGCTATGACATTATAATTAAATGCAACCGTCATATATTGTACATGTTAACTTTTCTTACTTTTCGAGTAAGTTTCCTACTATTCTCCCATACGCGGCTCCACACAGCAAGCACGGCACGAACAACCCGCTCGGGACAGTGACACCGTATGTCCAACACGCCAGCATGAAGAAACAGACGAAGAAGATCCACAGGGACGGCATGCTGAATCTTCCTGAAACAACAACACGCCAGCATGAAAAAAACAGAGAAAGAATATCGACAAGGACCGCGATGAATCTTCCGGAAACAACAACACACCAGCATGAAAAAGTAGATGAAGAATATCCACAAGGACCGCGATGAATCGTCCTGAAAACAACAACACGCCAGCATGAAAAAAAACCAGATGAAGAATATCCACAAGGAGCGCGCTGAATCTTCCTTAAACAACAACACGCAGATGAAGGCGATCCACAAGGACTGCGCTATATCTTCATAAAACAACAACACGCCAGCATGAAAGAACTTTATCAAGAATATCCACAAGGACCGCGCTGAATCTTCCTGAAACAACAACACACCAGCATGAAAAAACTAAACAGACGAAGAATATCCACAAAGACCGCGCTGAATCTTCCTGAAAGAACAACACACCAGCATGAAAAAACAGACGAAGAATATCCACAAAGACCGCGCTAAATCTTCCTGAAATAACAACACACCAGCATGAAAAAACAGATAAAGAAAATCCACAAGGACCGCGCTGAATCTTCCTGAAACAACAACACACCAGCATGAAAAAAACAGTCGAAGAATATCCACAAGTACTGTGCTAGATTTTCCTGAAACAACACCCCAGCATGAAAAAAAAGATAAAGAATATTCACAAGGACCGCGCTGAATCTTCCTGAAACAACACACCAGCATGAAAAACAACAACACGCTGATGAAGAAGATCCACAAGGACTGCGCTATATCTTCATAAAACAAAAACACGCCAGCATGAAAGAACTTTATCAAGAAAATCCTCAAGGACCGCGCTGAATCTTCCTGAAACAACAACACACCAGCATGAAAAAACTAAACAGACGAAGAATATCCACAAAGACCGCGCTAAATCTTCCTGAAAGAACAACACAACAGCATGAAAAAACAGACGAAGAATATCCACAAAGACCGCGATGAATCTTCCTGAAACAACAACACACCAGCATGAAAAAAACAGATAAAGAAAATCCACAAGGACCGCGCTGAATCTTCCTGAAACAACACAACCAGCATGAAAAACAACAACACGCTGATGAAGAAGATCCACAAGGACCGCGCTGAATCTTCCTGAAACAACAACACAGCAGCATGAAAAACAACAACACGCAGTTGAAGAATATCCACAAGGACCGCGCTGAATCTTCCTGAAACAAAAACACGCCAGCATGAAAAAAAAAAAAACAGACGAAGAATATCCACAAGGGCTGCGCTAAATCTTCCTGAAACAACAACACACCAGCGTGAAAAACAACAACACGCAGTTGAAGAATATCCACAAGGACCGCGCTGAATCTTCCTGAAACAAAAACACGCCAGCATGAAAAAAAAAAACAACAGACGAAGAATATCCACAAGGGCTGCGCTAAATCTTCCTGAAACAACAACACACCAGCATGAAAAACAACAACACGCAGATGAAGAATATCTAAAAGGACCGCGCTGAATCTTCCTGAAACAAAAACACGCCAGCATGAAAAAAACAAAAACAGACGAAGAATATCCACAAGGGCTGCGCTGAATCTTCCTGAAACAACAACACGCCAGCATAGAAAAAATTATCAAGAAAATCCTCAAGGACCGCGCTGAATCTTCCTGAAACAACAACATGCCAGCATGAAAAAAAAAACAGATGAAGAATATACTCATGGACCACGATGAATCTTCCTGCAAAAACAACATGCCAGCATGAACACACAAAAAACAGACGAAGAATATCAACAAGGACTGCGCTAAATCTTCCTGAAAACAACATGCCAGCATAACACACACAAAAAAGATGAAGAATATCCTCAAGGATCGCACTGAATCTTCCTGAAAAAACAACACGCCAGCATGATAAAACAGATAAAGAATATCCACAAAGACTGCGCTGAATCAACATGAAACACTAAAACGTCAGCATGAAGAATCAGGTATAGAAAATCCACATGGACGGCATGATCGTTCGTGATATATAACTTGCGGTTAGTAAATTACAATACCCAAATACGAAACACATGACATACAAATGGCGGCTTCTATTACGAGACCTCACTGCGAATACTATTTTGAATATCTTTAGATCGATCTTACTGTCGCCTGATTTGCAATTATAATCAGTAATGAATTTCGTTCAGCGCTTGATGTCCGAAAACAACCACCATGACCATTAGGACAGACAACTGGATCCGAGGGTGAAGATGCAAAAGATGCTAATCAAAAGAAGAAAGCGGATACACTGATAAGTTCAATAGTAAATAGTAAACAATCTTCCACGCAATGATAAGGGATCTCTGTTTAATAATGACACAATGAGTATGATCTTGCACTAATGGGTTCTATCTATTTGCAAAACAAACTAACAGGTAAAGGGGCTAGCAGACTTCAATACACTGCAGACCACTGTAACACACACAGGGGAAGGTCAAATTACGTAACGCCATTATCACGGAACCATTAAGTTTTGCATGAATAGTCTGTTTCCACTGATTGTCTTCGAACACTATAGCATTTAGTTTAGCAGGTAATCGCACAGCAGTGGAGCGTAGAACATGCCATTGTCGCCTCCATGTCCCCAACTTGAAGACTAAACTGACGCTTAAAAAGAGATAGAAATACAAAAAATGACTTTTGTGGAAACAATATTGACCTTTCGGTTGCGTAAGCATCTTTAATCTGTCACATCCTTGAAGGCTCCCAGTTACTTCATTGAATTATACACTACAAGACACAAGGCGCGCATGATATATCAAAAATCAAAATAATTACAAGAACCATCCAAGTTTTACATTTCTTTAATACATGTTGCAGTAACATTCATGTCAACTTTGTCAGCTTAGACAATTCAAGGAAAGAAACATTATGAGAGTAATTGCAAGCACGATCAGCAGATTTAGTATTTTTATAAACCTCATGTCAGTGAAGTAATTTTCAGTTAAAAATCTTAAGACTGGACTTAGCAGTAAACAATCCGTCTAGCAGGCGAAACCCTAGGAGGAGGCACTCGGTTAGATCTCACGAGAAAATACTATTGAAGACCTCGGGGGGAAACACATGGCGAGTCCTGGGGAGGAAGAACAAGGTAAGCCATCAGGACGAGGGAATCCGCGACACACTCTGAGAAAGCACAAGGTGAGGCCCAATTAAGGAAGGCATCCACGGGATAACGGAGGACAAAGAACGAAGACAATGTAACAATAGAATGGTTCCACAACCTGATGTCTAATATAATTCCTACCAATATTACAAAGGGGACAACATGGACTTAAGTGTATGGTGTACGATGAGTGGTAAGCAAAACGACTTTGAGCTGCTCTCCTCGTCTAGGCCTGGTTAGACAGTGTACCGTCACTTTCAACATTGCTGCTATTCCGATTACTATTGCAGTATGAGTGTATTACTGTTGTTGTATTGGTGTATACTCATCGACAAAAGAAACGCGAATACCATACATGTTGGTTAATATATGAAGAATGGCTAAAATTCAAGAGATATTAGATTTGTTCGAGGCACAAACGAACATACTGGTATGTTGTGTGAATCGACGCTCATGAACGTGATAGACCCATGACTCCAGATGCACCATTTGTCTCGTGCAGTATTAGCTTGTAAAGTTTGGAAATCACATGCAGCATATCGCGATAAGAATAAAGACATTATGGTACCACATGAGTGATTGTTAGTTTTGTCATAAAGTGGTCCACATTTGAAACATCTCTTCATAACGTACAAACTTTTCTAAACGTTTCAATGGTTCGCGTTTCTTTTGGCGGTGTGTATATATTTCGTTAACGCAAAGGTATTATACCACTGTGTATGCCAAGATAGGGATGCCTTTCTGTGGATACACTGATCATGTCATTTAGAACCCGGTGTTCATGAAGAAGCATGTGACGATAAAGGAATGCGCCTAGTCCACAACCCAATGGTAACTCCCTCTATGGCGGCAATAAACCCAGATTGAATTGTAATTTTAAAAATGTATATGCCACAGACGATTATGTCCCATGACTTATCCCCCGATCCCACAGAAGCGCACTGGCTTGATGTCAGGTGTGGTACTGCTCCAATACACGTGGAGACAGGGCGATACAGCAACCTCCCAATTGAAGTGTTTTAACTGTACAGAAACTTGGAAGACGACATTCATGTCCTCCTATATTGCCCTGTCTACAATAGGGAATGTGCCACACTGACTACAAAATGCCACGAGGTGTATTGTAGTTTTAATTATCTGTGTGATGTCAAAACAAGTTTGTTTTGTTTTATCATCATGTGACATGTAAAGTGTAACGGCCAAAACCTGATGTGTTATTTTAAAACAGAGAAAGACCCGTATAATCGTTTCTAATATTACTAATATAACAAACAATAGAACTGTATCCTCTTTTTTTAAGAGTGTACTTTTACCCATGGACTGTAGACAATATTTTAATGTAATTAGGATGAGACGTAAATACACATTCTGTCTGTCGGTCGTTTCTTAACGTGCAACTTACTTGGCATTAAATAAATTCCATTTATAGCTACCCACCTTTCCAAAATGTGAACTGCTTTAAATTGTCAGATCCCCGCCAGCATGTACACACTGGCCCCACTTTGGTTGTTCGAGGTCCAGGTGACGCAACTTGAGCACTGGGTCCCCATGGGTCCCAACAAGTCTTACCCATAACGAAAAAAGTGTGTTTTCCGGAGGCAAGTGTCATGTTATGAATATTTGTTTGATGTTGTTTATTAGCGTAATGTAGTGTGAATAAACATTGTAATAAGTGAGCCTTGATGAGCCACATACAGTGTGTTTATTCCTAATACAGGATATTTGTCATCACAAAATTTACGAGCGTTATAATCCATGTATCATATGATGTTATTCTTTAATTCATACGCCATAAACGGTTCCTAAACATTGCACATTTTCCTGGAATGTGCGATTAAGATATTGCGTCAAAAGGTCAATGCTTAGTCAGTCGGACAGTGACAAAATAGTTTCGACTGAATCTTCCTTTCAGGTAAAGGACCACCGGCTGGAGTTTCTGTACCTTCATTATCTTTTGAGTGGAAGCTACTCCAGTCAATGAGATGTGTAATCTGGTTCATGCGGTCACTCGTCCTGGGGTCCAATCCCAGTGAATGAGGTTCGTTTAAGTTGTTTGTTTGTTGTTTAACACCGCTCTCAGCAACATCCCAGCCAGTCTGTAAATAATCGAGTCTGGACGAGACGATCCAGTGATTGACATCATAAACATCGATCCACGCAATTTGGATAAAATGACATGCATCAACAAAGTCAGCGATCCTGACCACCCGAGCCCGTTAGTCGCCTGTTACGATAAGCATGGGTTGCTGAGGACCTATTCTAGCCCGGATATTCGCGGGTCCGTTTGTTTTGAGTCTGCCTGATCCTTACATTGTTATTGTGTTACGAAATTAGTCCGATGTCCCCTACACCGACACAGTGATACAAAGCAAGAATTGCGCGCTTTGGTTAATTTTGACACTTTTTGCTTGTTGTTGGAAGGGCGACAACGCGACAATATCCCTTCTATTATTCCATATATAAATGCGGTTTACCAGACACCTTCGGCCATTTTGGTCTCATTTCGGTATGGAATGTACACGAACCTCTTCCTCAGTTATGGTTTCTATGTTTTGTAGCCGTCCACTAAATGAAGTAAACTGTCGTATATTCGAGAAAAGACTCCAAGTCGCAGAAGTCTACAATCACAGTTATGGGAACTGATAACCAGACCGACCTCATATAATGTATTCGTTGCTTGTACACCTGCAAGAGGGCTCAGCTACGCCCCTGACGTTCGGCATCAAATGTAAGACTATAATTTTGACATTGAAGACAAGTACAGTTAAAAGCTAATATAACGTATAGAATGAGTGAGTGAGTGAGTGATTATGGTTTTTCGCCGCTTTTAGCAATATTCCAGCAATATTTCATTTCATGGAGTAGTTTAAAATATCTTTAAAAAAACATATTGTTATAAAGGAATTCAATAAACTACAACCAAAACAGTTGTGGGGACTGCAAACTCTTGTCCTGAATGTTGGTGTTTTTAGAATGAATCTCTGGGTGTTTATTGAACATTAACTTGACCAATATATATTGTTAAGTTCATAATAAATCATCTCAATTATAACGGTACGGTGAAGTGTACTCCTTTTGTTCCTGTGCACAACTTTATTGTTTATCTGAAAGATGGTATATATTAGGCCGTTTTAGTTAGCCAGTATACATTCTTCCACAGTATTGTAATGCTGAATCATAATATTTGCTAAAAATACATTATAAAGTGAGCTGCGCAGTAATTGTAGAATGGTTTCAATTTATAAACTCGAATATACATGCAATATGGAATATATACCTACAATGTTATATGTATGTGAAGATACAAGATAGTGATGCCACAAAAGGGTTCAGGCACGGTAAAACACAAACACCCATTTGAGGCCCATGTGGGCTATACACGTACGTCAACTCAGGACCATATTCTAAAACCCTCAGACAAATCTGAACCGAGCCCCGAAGGGCTCCCCATTTGGGGCCCTATTCACGGCCCACATTATCCCCAAATGGGGCCATGTGACGTGCTGGTGGGGATTCTACGCTTGTAACTGCGTCTTCGTATTAAGAGTGACTCAGTGACGTAAGTATCAATCGAGGCAGAACTATTTCTAACTGTTGAGCTATAGAATGAACAACACAATGCACGTAACTTTAACGGGACATGTGAAATCCCAAACCCTTTATGATAAATATTCATGATCAGCGAAATACGTGTAATCTGCAGTACATGTACCTGCTTGATGGAAAAGCTGTTTGATTGCCACTTCTTGTGAGTTAAAAAACAACGTTGCCATGTCGTTGTAGTAGCCGTCCTCGCAGAAGTAGGTTCGGACAGTGGTCTCCACATTCTCCTCTAGAGATACATTCAGATGGCCCTCAACCTGGCAACACAAGCACTCTCCAGTATCACCCTAGCAACAAAAACAGTCCTCAGTATCACCCTAGCAACAAAAACAGTCCTTAGTATCACCCAAGCAACACAAGCGGTCCTCGGTATCACACTAGCAACACAAGTAGTCCTCCGTATCACCCTAGCAACACAAGTAGTCCATCGTATCACCCTAGCAACACAAGCAGTCCTCAGTATCACCCTAGCAACACAAGTAGTCCTTAATATCACCCTAGCAACACAAGCAGTCCTCAGTATCACCCTAGCAACACAAGCAGTCCTCAGTATCACCCTGGCAAAACAAGCAGTCCTCAGTATCACCCTAGCAACACAAGTAGTCCTTAATATCACCCTAGCAACACAAGCAGTCCTCAGTATCACCCTAGCAACACAAGCAGTCCTCAGTATCACCCTAGCAACACAAGCAGTCCTCAGTCAGCAATATCACCTTCCAGATAACGGAAAATAGCAAACCATGAATGCTTAAATATTTTTTTGTAATATATGGCTGATTTAAAGTAACAAAGATCGCATCTGTACACAAGAGGATACAAAATTACCAATGTGATAAAAGAAGTAAATTGGCTTCTGGCTGAATGGTGTCTCCGTCCAAGTTACGAGTCAGAGTGTAATGCTTCTACTCAGCTTGGATTCCTGACTACAGATATGCTATGGACACGATCCTTCACGATCATCGCCGTGAGTTTAGCTAATAGCCACGTTAACAACATTTCATATCACGGCATGTCAGCTTAATGTGAGAGGAAAATCCGAAGTGATGTAGGTATCAGACGTTTATTTTTCTTTTGTTGCATCCTAGTAGCAAAAAAAGGATCATAATCAGGGCAAATCAGGGATCATAATCAGGGCAAATCAGGGATCATAATCAGGGCCAATCAGGGATCATAATCAGGGCCAATCAGGGATCATAATCAGGGCAAATCAGGGATCCCAATCAGGGCAAATCAGGGATCATAATCAGGGCAAATCAGGGATCATAATCAGGGCAAATCAGGGATCATAATCAGGGCAAAACAGGGATCATAATCAAGGCAAAACAGGGATCATAAGGGATAGCAAGACTATGTCACAGTTTAGTTACATTGTGGCATATACTGCGTGTTTTTGTCCAAGGTTGTATCATGCAAGAGGTCGCGACTCAACAAAATATAAAATATAAATACTCTCCAGACTATTGCTGTTGAACTTACGGTTAAAGGACTGCACTCCCCAAGGGTCATGGCGGCAGTAAATGCAACCGTTGTTGTTACCATAGCAACCAAAACAGCCTCAAGAATTCTAAATAGACGAGACAGTTGTTAGACATATTATCTAGGAAACTGGCCCATGTGTCAGGGGGTTTGCGTACGACAGTATGGTGAAAATGTGTTCTTTTAATTCCATGTAATACAGTCAAGATTTCTTATCATACAGATACAAAATTTCCCTAAAGTGAAAACACCACTGACAACAGCACTGACTTCTCCTCGTGCACTGTTCCTCCATACTGGGGTTAATAACCAGGAGGTATGTGGTAACATAAGCATTGCTTAAAATGATATTCCAAACGTTCATGGCCAGTGTTTTAAATGTAAAGTAAATGACACACTAGATACTCATCCCCACCCTCTCCTCCTCCCCTCCATTAATTCATACTGGAATCTCACAATAAGTTCTCTTATATAAGACTGTGAAATATTTCGGACGTCATGGCGTCTGATTATGAGACACTGTCAATAATATGTTTGGAAATCATTGTATTTGAAGTATATTTCTAAATGATCCTCTGGAGAAACAGCTCGCTAAGAGACACCGTGCATCATGTGTTATGATACGTATGTCGGCCTACTTTCCTGCCTTTCGTCTACGACATGGTGGTGAAGGCGGATACAGTCGATGTCTTGTCAAGTCGTCCACCACACCGTGAAGTAGACGGATACAGCTAATGTCTTGTGTAACCGTCTACCACACCGTGAAGTAGACGGATACAGTTAATGTCTTCTCCAGCCGTCTACCACATCGTGATGTAGACGGATACAGTTAATGTCTGGTCAAGCCATCTACCACACCAGGAAGTAGACGGATACAGTTGATGTCTTGTCCAGCCGTCAACCACACCGTGAAGTAGACGGACACAGTTGATGTCTGGTCCAGTCGTCTACAACACCGTGAAGTAGACGGATACAGTTGGTGTCTTGTAGACGGATACATTCGATGTCTGGTCGAGCCGTCTACCACACCGTGGAGTAGAAGGATAAGTCGATGTCTTGTCCAGTCGTCCACCACACCGTGAAGTAGACGGATACAGTTAATGTCTTGTCCAACCGTCTACCACACCGTTAAGTAGACGGATACAGTTAATGTCTTGTCCAGCCGTCTTTCACATCGTGATGTAGACGGATACAGTTAATGTCTGGTCAAGTCGTCGACCACACCGTGAAGTAGACGGTTACAGTTGATGTCTTGTCCAGCCGTCTACCACACTGTGAAGTAGACGAATGAAGATAATGTCTGGTCAAACCATCTACCACACCGTGAAGTAAACGGATACAGTTGATGTCTTGTCCAACCGTCTTCCACATCGTGATGTAGACAGATACAGTTGATGTCTGGTCAAGCCGTCTACCACACTGTGAAGAAGACGGATACAGTTAATGTCTGGTCCAGTTGTCTACCACACCGTGAAGTAGACGGATACAGTTGATGTCTTGTCCAGCCGTCAACCACACCGTGAAGTAGACGGATACAGTTGATGTCTTGTCCAGCCGTCTACCACACTGTGAAGAAGACGGATACAGTTGATGTCTTGTCCAACCGTCTTCCACACTGTGAAATAGACGGATACAGGTAATATCTGGTCCAGTCGTCTACCACACCGTGAGGTAGACGGATACAGTTAATGTCTGGTCCAGTCGTCTACCACACCGTGAAGTAGACGGATATAGTTAATGTCTGGTCAAGTCATTTACCACACCGTGAAGTAGACGGATACAGTTGATGTTTGGTCAAGCCGTCTACCACACCGTGAAGTAGACGGATACAGTTAATATCTGGTCAAGTCATCTACCACACCCTGAAGTAGACGGATACAGTTAATGTCTTGTCCAGTCGTCTACCACACCGTGGATAAGACGGATACAGTTAATGCCTTGTCCAGCCGTCTACCATACAGTGAAGTAGATGGATACAGTTGATGTCTGGTCCAGTCGTCTACAATACCGTGAAGTAGACTGTTACAGTTGATGTCTTGTCCAGCCGTCTACCACACTGTGAAGAAGACGGATACAGTTGATGTCTGGTCAAGCGGTCTACCCCCCTTTGAAGTAGACGGATACAGTTGATGTCTTGTCCAGTCGTCTACGACACCGTGAAGTAGACGGATATAGTTGATGTCTTGTCCAACCGTCTTCCACACTGTGAAGTAGACGGATACAGGTAATCTCTGGTCCAGTCGACTACCACACCGTGAAGTAGACGGATACAGTTAATGTCTGGTCCAGTCGTCTACCACACCGTGAAGTAGACGGATACAGTTAATGTCTGGTCAAGTCGTCTACCACACCGTGAAGTAGACGGATACAGTTGATGTCTGGTCAAGCCGTCTACCACACCGTGAAGTAGACGGATACAGTTAATATCTGGTCAAGTCATCTGCCACACCCTGAAGTAGACGGATACAGTAATGTCTTGTCCAGTCGTCTACCACACCGTGAAGTAGACGGATACAGTTGATGTCTGGTCCAGCTATCTACCACACCGTGAAGTAGATGGTTAAAGTTGATGTCTTGTCCAGTCGTCTACCACATCGTGAAGTAGACGGATACAGTTGATGTCTTGTCCAACCGTCTACCACAACGTGATGTAGGCAGATACAGTTGATGTCTGGTCAAGTCGTCTCCCACACCTTGAAGTAGACGGATACAGTTGATGTCTTGTCCAGCCGTCTACCACACCGTGAAGTAGGCGGATACAGTTGATGTCTAGTCCAGCCGTCTACCACACCGTGAAGTAGACGGATACAGTTAATGTCTGGTCAAGCGGTCTAACACACCGTGAGGTAGACGGATACAGTTGATGTCTTGTCCACCCGTCTACCACACCTTGAAGTAGACGGATACAGTTGATGTCTAGTCCAGCTATCTACCACACCGTGAAGTAGACGGATACAGTTGATGTCTGGTCCAGCGGTCTACCACACCGTGAAGTAGACGGATACAGTTGATGTCTGGTCCAGTCGTCTACTACATAACGGATACAGTTTTTAAGATACGTCATTGTGGGTAACTGAATCAATACAAAGAGCTTGCATCTTCTTCATCACCAAACAACGACACCAAATTAACTGTATTTATTGTGTATGTTTTGATGAAAAAAATCAAACTGATATTTTATTCGCGTTGACACTGCTTTCAGTCTGCGTCAGCGTCACGCTGATTTTATGGGCAAGATCGTGAAAAAATCAGTAAAGCAACACACAAGAAATAGAACATTTGTCTTTTCACGTCAAATAACCTGTATATCTCATCCTATGACCGGAAAATCTGCGCCACATGAAAATATCAATCTTGCCAGGTCACTCCATCAGATAAACATGTCATTAGACAAGAAAGGCCAAATACCCTTGTATGTCATAAAATTGATAAGATTGCATGCTCCACCTTCCAGTGCAGAGTTGCGGATGCTTGTGGTCTGAGTGATTACATCGAGTTTGGAAGAAGAACATCGTGTAAACGTGACACTGTGTCAATGTATAGATGCAGCGGGACAAGCCTAGGACAATTCATTTTCGGTTCTCAAAAAGTAAATGTGATTCTACATACTTATAAATACAATAAAGCAAACGAATTATGTGATCAGTAATTGAACCGTATACTGTGATGGCGATCCATGCAATCAGCAGTACATACATCAGGCACATATCTGGTGTCGTGCTATTTGTCAGGAACTAACAACCAATCAACTGTTATACGAGAGTAATTCGAACATTTCGTGGCCTTCTGGAGATATTGCATTTTGTAATGTGAGGTTTTAACACGCGTATGAAGAGTATCATTTCTTTTTAGACGACACCACGTTTCGGAGTGCATCTGTTGTCGAGAAGTCAGCGAGCGGGTTTGAAAGGTTTGAGGAGCTGCGAAAATGAAGAAAATTGAGAAACGAGCCATGGAAAGGGCATCTGGCAAAGATATACACACATGGGGATGGCTGCCATCCCTATTCCATTAAGAAATCAATGTTATTTAAAGGAAATATTTTACTCCTAAACTACACCTCTCTCCTTAACGATCTCAGCACACCTCCATACAAGGTCGTGTCAGGTGAAGCCCTAAATTTACATGAAGGATGTGTGGGTTCTTTAGCCAATCAGAAGTCAGCTTTTCCACCTCGATTCGGAAATTTCGATGTCAAAAAGATATCAATAATAAATTAAAGCGACAAAACAATTTACATAACGATTCCGACTATATCATAAGCATTTGTCTTTCAATCACTTGCAATTATTGATGATTCCAGGTGTTCGCGAAAAGGTGAGTGTTTCCTGCCCCACTGCACAGAACATAAATATTATGTTTATTATTATGTTTATTCAGCAAGGTAACGTAGGCCATCGGCCCATGTCACAACAGCTGCACAGCAGCCATTATTGTGATTGAAATTTACATCAGCAGTTTTTGTCCTTAATTGCATAGACTTATAAATATACAAAGATAAATGTCTTATGACATTACATTTATCAATTGGGATCGAGACATTTAATTTATGTAATCTGTGAAATGCATAGTACAGTGTCGTTTCTTGGAATGTACTGTTCACGCAATACGGCATACACCGTGCATACAAACAAGAAATGGTATTCATCCTGAACGAAACCTTTTTAAAACATTGAAAAACCTTTCATTTCTTGGAACATTTGCATACTTGCCAGTCTCAACGTTTAGTTGGCGAGAGCAACATCTAAGCTTTGCTAAAGCTACACGAAACGTATGGATAGAAATAAACTTAATATAATACTCTTGACACACTATAGGTTTATACACAGAGTAATTGAATGTGTTTGCACCAGGTGACAAGGATGCATGCCAGTCTTGCTGATAAATACATTTTGCTCTCATCATAAATTCTGATAAAAATGAATGATTCTTTGGAAGTTGCGAGTCTGGCATGGATAGTAATTTATACCAATATTTTATACACCGCTTGTTGGCATAAATATAATCAGGGTATCTCCCACATTCACCACGTACAACATGATTTGGAGTTGACGACTACACACCAAGAAAATATTTGCATGCCTGAACATGAACGCCTTCAATAACTCTGCTAAGCTTACAATCTGAGTCAACTTCTTGTCCCATTATTTCGGCACCCTACAATAAAATCGACATCACTTTACTATCTAAAACAAAGGTCTAAGTTTCGACAGCTATTTTAAGATACCAAATAATGCCTTTCTGGATTGCAACGAAGAATTCGTAACGTCCTTATTCCAGGTAAACTTTCCAGAAAATATTATACCCAAATACTTGTGAGATGAAAGACATTCAGTGCGAATATTGACTATTCCTCCTGTGGTTCTCCCGTTGTGGGGTATAAATGCCATGGCGCCCACCTACGACAGGGTGCATAACGTATCCACCACAACATAATATGGCGGCATTTATCGTTTACATTCACAGCAAGCCGCTTGACTTCGCTTTTGAGATATAGAAATCCGACATGTGGGTCTTATAAGGAGGTTAGGGGACAATTATTATGGAATATGATCAACGAGACCAGACCATCAATAGGTACTACTATACAACAGAATAACGTCGGTTGAGAGAAACCAAGGAAAGAACGTCGAGGAATAGCCAGTTCGTAAGTACTATACCCTGTAGGCCATGCTCCTCTGTACAAGGCACAAGTGGCAGTGGCTGCCAGCTGCAGATTACGGCTTTACATTACTTCCCCATGGCCCTCACTCTCCTGACCTTGCACCCTCGGACTTTTACTTCTTCCCTAATCTCAAATCAAACCTGTATGGTATTGTTTTTATCATTAACGACGAGGTGAGGTATATTGGGTATGTTAGGGAGTACCAAGATGCAGATTTAGATCACATAGCTGGAGCATCGCTGGATCAGTTGTATTGACGTCAAACAATTTGTATTCCGAACGAGTTTGTATGTGAGGCCAAGAAGTTATCGATTTACCCTCGTATATTGCGTGTGTCCTTCATGAAGTAGAGTAGGTACATACTTGAATATTTTATGCTTGGTGTGACAATATTTTATTCTGTGAACAGTCAACGCTTTGTTGAAGACGTTAAAGAGCGCACCAAGAAGTCCTCCAACAAAACCCATCACGATGAAGATGAGCAGGTCGACAGCGTTCCACAAGTGGCATCCTCCACTTTCCTCGCTCTGGCACTGTGGTGAATAGACATATACTTGTCACTGCTTCCGGAAACTCTCATTGCTGTCTCTATTAACATGCGGGTTTGTCAGCGTTCTGCCCGTGCGCGTTGGTTTCACCAAACTGGTGAATGCCTGAGACATTTGGCTCTCGTGTCACATCAAGTCTTAATGTGAAGTGCTGTTCAAAGCGGCGTAAAACAAACTATATGACACGCTCCGCCCAACATTCACAAGCGTATAATATAATATAATGATTGATAATAAAAAAGTTCATATCGATTATATACAAAGCCTCTCACAACGGAATTTATTGTTTTATCAAACTAAACATCCGTCAACCAGCAGTGAAAAAACATTATTGCGTTATGATAACCAAAGATTATGACGCTCTGGTTGACGCGGATAATACAACAAAGGTCACACGTCCACACACACGTAAACCCATTCATTGGAGCGTGAATCAAAGAATGTTCTTAATTATTAATGCATTCCAAAACAGCGTTCCTGAAAAAGATATTTGTTGGCAAAACACACATTTTTATTAAATATCCAGGCAATTTGACAGTCACGTCTCGGGAGAGAAAGCCAGTAAAGTCACATGTTATGTTTTGCCTTGACAATTGCATTTTTTCTTCTCATTGTGACAGATGCGCGGTGACAGGTTCAGTTTACCCATTTTTATGTTGAAAGCTTTGTATTAATGCCCACTTTGTCTTGAAGTGCTGTGTATTTTATAAATTACTTACTTTGAATTCTCCAAAGTTGATGAGTCCCGGTAGGTAGAAGTACCCCCAGTCTCTACTGTCAAGTCCTGACAGAAAGAAGTTCAGAGAGAACGTGGCGGCCATTGAGCAGAAGAACTAGGAGTAGACAAAATGAGTCACAATCAGAACACAAAAAAGTTAAAAAAACAATTTTATTAAGATTGGAAAAACAAGAAATAACAATATATTTTAATAAATTACAAGCTTATTGAATACGAACTTATACGACTTGTTGAGCCTTTGCCTTGCAAAGAGAAAGAGCAAAGAAGAAGAGCAAAGAGGAAGAGGGTAATGAATCCAATGACCAAAGTAATAATGTTGCGCGTTTTGAGCATGTTTTGGGTGAGAATTTATCGCATTTTGAATATCCTGTCCACATCCGTCACGATGTAATCTCATCATGTCATTCTTTCCCCAATTTCAGTTGACTTTCCACATTTCGACTGACATATCTTCAATCCTTGTTTAGCCGTTGTCTAAGACCAATAACATCATTGGCAACGTGAAGTCAAGTTACCGTCCTCCACGTCAGTTTCTGGTTCCAGAACGAACACCCTTCCTCCAAACTAAACAGAACACCTCCAATGGGGGCTCCAAAAGCAGCTGAAAATAAACGAACAAAACATTTTGTCATTATATCATTCGACCATATACAGTTATCATACTTAGAGAATACACAAAAGATGGTACAAGATAGTAACAAACATCACATGGAGGCAGCATGCAGTTTATATCCACCACCAGACACGACAGTGGCATGTCACACCTTTCAGCCACAACGAACGATTGTGTATCAATCACAGTAAAACGTTACAAACTATTGCTAACATACTTCCTCCTAAATGCCACATCCTCTAACCTGTCACAGCCTCCTACATGCCACACCCTCCTACCTGCCAAGCCCCATTCTGTCACATCATATTTCCCGCCACGACCTCCTACATGTAACACCCTCCTACATGCCACACCCTATTAACTGCCACACCCTCCTACATGCCACACCCTATTACCTGCCACACCCTATTACCTGCCACACCCTCCTACATGTCACACCCTATTACCTACCACACCCTCCTACATGCCACACCCTATTACCTGTCACACTCTATTACATGCCACACCCTCCTACATGCCACACGATCTTTCCTGACACACTCTATCTGCCTCATCGTCCTACCTGTTACATATTCGAACATTCCACACCCTCCTGCTCGCCACACCCCATCACATTTTACCCCGTCATACCTGTCACACCCAATTACCTACCATACCCTTCTACATGCCACACCCTATTACCTACCATACCCTTCTACATGCCACACCCTATTACCTACCATACCTTCCTACATGCCACACCCTATTACCTGCCACACCCTATTACCTACTATACCCTCCTACATGCCACACCCTATTACCTACCATACCCTTCTACATGCCACACCCTATTACCTACCATACCTTCCTACATGCCACACCCTATTACCTGCCACACCCAATTACCTACCATACCCTTCTACATGCCACATCCCTATTACCTACCATACCCTCCTACATGCCACCCCCTTTTACCTGCCACACCCTATTACCTACTATACCCTCCTACATGCCACACCCTATTACCTGTCACACTCTATTACCTACCATACCTTCCTACATGCCACTCCCTATTACCTGTCACACTCTATTACATGCCACACCCTCCTATCTGCCTCATCGTCCTACCTGTTACATATTCGAACATTCCACACCCTCTTGCTCGCCACACCCATCACATTTTACCCCGTGATACCTGCCACACCCTATTACCTGCCACACCCTTCTACATGTCACACCCTATTACCTGCCACACCCTCCTGCTCGCCACACCCATCACGTTTTACCCCGTCATACCTTCCACACCCTATTACATGCCACACCCTCCTACATGTCACACCCTATTACCTACCATACCCTCCTACATGCCACTCCCTATTACCTGTCACACTCTATTACATGCCACACCCTCCTACATGCCACACGATCTTTCCTGACACACTCTATCTGCCTCATCGTCCTACCTGTTACATATTCGAACATTCCACACCCTCCTGCTCGCCACACCCCATCACATTTTACCCCGTCATACCTGCCACACCCGCCGCCGCTCCTCCCGATACAAAGTCCCTCTTGTCTCTGTAAAATTAATGATGTTGATGATGATGTGATTGAATGATTCATAAACATCTGAGTAACAATCGCCGATGCGACGTTAAGTTTAAATTCACTGGCACACTCACTCTAAGTAGCAGTACATAGAAACTTCGTGTTGTGTTTAATTTTCTCATGTTATATAGTTCAGTGTATGTTTTTGTAACTGTTTGCATCGTTCATAATGACATCTAAAGGTGCTAGAAAACAATAGAACAAGTTGTACATATCATGGCCGCCCGACCTGGACACTAACACTCTGAAACACTGTGAGAGCCGTGAAGATCCGGGCTCGACGAAGTCTTCAGCAACCCATGCTTGTCGTAACAGGGGACAATGCTTGTTGTAAGAGGCGATTAACGGGATCGGGTGGTCAGGCTCGCTGACTTGGTTGATGCATGTCATTGTATCCCAAATGCGTAGATCGATGCTCATGATATCAATCACTGGATTGACTGGTCCAGACTCGATTATTTACAGACGCCGCCAAATAGCTGCAGAGTGCGGCGTTAAACAACAAGGAAGCAAGGGAACACCATGCACACTGTATCTAGGTCCGTAAAGTGTGTCACTCTAGGTAATGAACTACACTTGGGAACACGTGCACACTGTGTCTAGGTCTGTAAAGTGTGTCACTCCAGGTAATGAACTACACTTGGGAACACCGTGCACACTGTATCTAGATATGTTCTGTGTGTCACTCCAGGTAATGAACTACACTTGGGAACACCGTGCACACTGTATCTAGATATGTTCTGTGTGTCACTCCAGGTAATGAACTACACTTGGGAACACCGTGCACACTGTATCTAGATATGTTCTGTGTGTCACTCCAGGTAATGAACTACACTTGGGAACACCGTGCACACTGTATCAAGATATGTTCTGTGTGTCACTCTAGGTAATGAACTACACTTGGGGACACCGTGCAAACTGTATCTAGATATGTTCTGTGTGTCACTCCAGGTAATGAACTACACTTGGGGACACAGTGCACACTGTATCTAGATATGTTCTGTGTGTCACTCCAGGTAATGAACTACACTTGGGGACACCGTGCACACTGTATCTAGATATGTTCTGTGTGTCACTCCAGGTAATGAACTACACTTGGGGACACAGTGCACACTGTATCTAGATATGTTCTGTGTGTCACTCCAGGTAATGAACTACACTTGGGGACACCGTGCACACTGTATCTAGATATGTTCTGTGTGTCACTCCAGGTAATGAACTACACTATGGAACACGTGCTTACTGTGTCTAGGTCTGTAAAGTGTGTCACTCTAGGTAATGAAGTGCGCTTGGCGACAACGGGCACACTGTATCTAGGTCTGTAAAGTGTGTCACTCCAGGTAATGAACTACACTTGGGGACACCGTGCACACTGTATCTAGATATGTTCTGTGTGTCACTCCAGGTAATGAACTACACTATGGAACACGTGCTTACTGTGTCTAGGTCTGTAAAGTGTGTCACTCTAGGTAATGAAGTGCGCTTGGCGACAACGGGCACACTGTATCTAGGTCTGTAAAGTGTGTCACTCCAGGTAATGAACTACACTTGGGAACACGTGCTTACTGTGTCTAGGTCTGTAAAGTGTGTCACTCTAGGTAATGAACTACACTTGGGGACACCGTGCACACTGTATCTAGATATGTTCTGTGTGTCACTCTAGGTAATGAAATACACTTGGGGACACTGTGCACACTGTACCTAGGTCTGTAAAGTGTGTCACTCCAGGTAATGAACTACACTTGGGAACACGTGCACACTGTACCTAGGTCTGTAAAGTGTGTCACTCTAGGTAATGAACTACACTTGGGGACACTGTTCACACTAGGTCTGTCGTGAGTCACTGTTGTTGAAGACTTGGGGGAAATCGTGTAAGCTTAAGTGACATAGTTGTCTGAGTTATTCTTTATATTTTATGTTTAAGACGTATTTACAACCTGTACGAAATTTTCCTGATGATGACAATGGTACTTTGTATCTTTACGATGATACCATCTGAAGAATGCTGTTGTTATCCCGTTTCACATTTCGTCACATTGTATCAACGTCATGTAACGTCAAACAGTATGAACAATAAAACCGTGAATCGTTTATCTTACCTATCCGTCCTGAAGAACGCATATTTTCTAATGTTGATCTTTCGAAATGCCAGACTCTGAAACTGAAGCCAAAAGAAACATGTTGATGTATATTGATCACGTTGGATATTCTTTGTATGGAAACTTATGTGTTTCAAGCACACGACGGTGTGTAACGACGAGTAATATAATTTTTATTCCAGACAATATTTAACATCATCTTATGCAACGTTGAAAAAGGATATCACAAGTTTAAAGGTGACGGATTAATACAAGATTTGGAATTGGTGCGTTTCGCCCATTGACTGCTGTTCTTTCCATGTACGACCTGGCAATGAAGAGAGCAGGTTTCTCCGAGATCAAGGCTACGACACGATAAGATACAGATTCTAAAAAACATGTTCGAACTATAAATATCATCACAAATGAAACGCGTGCATTCAACAAAAACATGTATGTCAGTTTTGGTCATGTGAGCACGAGAGACATTTGTTGTGGTTATTTGTTTGTTCGGTGTTTAACGTCGCATTCAGTAATATTCAAGCTGTATGTCGACGGTCTGTAAATAATCGAATCTGGACCAGACAATCCAGTGATTGACATCATGAGCATCGATCTGCACAATTGGGATACGATGGCATGCATCATCCAGGTCTGCGAGCTGATTACGTTAATCGCCTCTTACGACAAGCATAGTCGCCTCCTTCGACAAGAATGGATTGTTTTATTCTCTACCCGGATCTTCCCCCGGGTCGCACGACAGACAAGTTTTGACATGGGACATGGACAATATCCCATGGGACGATGTTTATGAAATTATGGAGCGCTGCGATGAAACGATGGAGCGATGACTCGATGGGATGGACAGATTCTCAATAGGTGTAAATATGTTTATGAAAAATATTATATATATTTCACAAACATTCAAATTGATCGTCAAAAGACAGGTGTATATTCTCAATGTTAAAATCTCAAATGCGCGACCGGTAGTGATTCCCATACAGTATATCAAAAGTTTGCTGTAAATATGTACGATAACGATTACACGCAATATGAACAAGACAAAAGTAAATTATATTGTAATTATAGCCGATTCAAATAAAGAAAACATGTTAAGTCAATAAGTGGAGGTCAGGTTTTCGTGAAATACGACTCTTCTTCGAGGCAGATGATGATTACTGCAAAAAGGCCTACTTCCCACAATATGTTAGTTGCCATCGGTTACATTACGTCTGAAATATAAATTAAATACGTGGGCCTACAGGTTTACTACTCGACAAAGAAGAATCGTTGTCATGGAACATCCAAAAACGTTACCGACATGCAGTTAACTGTATTTAACTTTTTTTAAATTTAACACATTCATAAACATATACTAAGGACGAGCCCCCATGCATATTTTACTTGAGTTTAGTTTTAGATATATCCAATCTGTGTTCACTAGAAGATAATAACGCATACAGTTATGTGCTTGTCATTGTGTAAACTATTAGAGACAACTAAACGAAGTCCATACGTTGTCTTGAAATTAACGGTACACCCGAAAATATATTATATCAGAATTTCAAAGAATATTGCAAATGCATTGTTACCTGTACAGACAGGTACAAAACCGATGTTGTAAACTATAAGAGTTCATGAACACATACGAGGCCATCAATCCACATCACTCCGCATCAATCCACACTTGTCTTTATTGGAGATATTTAGTTCTTGGTCCGAAAATCAAACAAGAATGCATGTTTCAGTCTCTTTCATTCTCCCCAAACTATCCAGCAACTATCAGATCACTGCTCCAGTTGACACAGTCGTGATGCACTGGCTGCTGTACGTACGGGACTGTGGATTGCAGCTGCACCTTATGTACACGACCTAGCTCTTCAGGACTGTCACCTGGTTTCAATTATGAAATAAAAACTTTGTGTGGACCGAGATTTAACGAAGAACAAGACTTTGTTACTGCTGTGGAAGGATGGTTGACAGACCATGATGCAACCTTCTTCAAAACAGGGATTACTGACCTGGAGACGAGATATACAGAGAAGAGTTACCCCAGCCAATATACAAAGCAATGTTACCCCACCCAATATACAGAGCAGTGTTACCCAAGCCAATATACAGAGCAGTGTTACCCTTCTCAATATACAGAGCAGTGTTACCCCACCCAATATACAGAGCAGTGTTACCCAACCCAATATACAGAGCAGTGTTACCACAGCCAATATACAGAGCAGTGTTACCCCAGCCAATATACAGAGCAGTGTTACCCCAGCCAATATACAGAGCAGTGTTACCCCACCCAATATACAGAACAGTATTACCCCAGCCAATATACAGAGCAGTGTTACCCAAGCCAATATACAGAGCAGTGTTACCCCACCCAATATACAGAGCAGTGTTACCCAAGCCAATTTACAGAGCAGTGTTACCCTACCCAATATACAGAGCAGTGTTACCCCACCCAATATACAGAGCAGTGTTACCCCAGCCAATATACAGAACAGTATTACCCCACCCAATATACAGAGCAGTGTTACCCAAGCCAATATACAGAGCAGTGTTACCCTTCTCAATATACAGAGGAGTGTTACTCCACCCAATATACAGAGCAGTGTTACCCCACCCAATATACAGAGCAGTGTTACCCCACCCAATATACAGAGCAGTGTTACCACAGCCACTATACAGAGCAGTGTTACCCAAGCCAATATACAGAGCAGTGTTACCCCAGCCAATATACAGAGCAGTGTTACCCCAGCCAATATACAGAGCAGTGTTACCCCACCCAATATACAGAGCAGTGTTACCCAAGCCAATTTACAGAGCAGTGTTACCCTATCCAATATACAGAGCAGTGTTACCACACCAAATATACAGAGCAGTGTTACCCCAGCCAATATACAGAACAGTATTACCCCACCCAATATACAGACCAGTGTTACCCAAGCCAATATACACAGCAGTGTTACGCTTCTCAATATACAGAGCAGTGTTACTCAACCCAATATACATAGCAGTGTTACCCCTACCAATATACAGAGCAGTGTTACCCCACCCAATATACAGAGCAGTGTTACCCCACCCAATATACAGAGCAGTGCTACACCAGCAAATATACAGAGCAGTGCTACACCAGCCAATATTCAGAGCAGTGTTACCCCACCCAATATACAGAGCAGGGTTACCCCACCCAATATACAGAGCAGTGTTACCCCACCCAATATACAGAGCAGTGATACACCAGCAAATATACAGAGCAGTGTTACCCCACCCAATCTACAGAGCAGTGTTACCCCAGCCAATATACACAACAGTATCACCCCACCCATTATACAGAGCAGTGTTACCCAAGCCAATATACAGAGCACTGTTACCCTACCCAATATACACAGCAGTGTTACCCCACCCAATATACAGAGCAGTGTTACCCATCCCAATATACAGAGCAGTGTTACCACAGCCACTATACAGAGCAGTGTTACCCCAGCCAATATACAGAGCAGTGTTACCCCACCCAATATACAGAGCAGTGTTACCACAGCCACTATACAGAGCAATGTTACCCCAGCCAATATACAGAGCAGTGTTACCCCACCCAATCTACAGAGCAGTGTTACCCCAGCCAATATACACAACAGTATTACCCCACCCATTATACAGAGCAGTGTTACCCAAGCCAATATACAGAGCACTGTTACCCTACCCAATATACACAGCAGTGTTACTCCACCCAATATACAGAGCAGTGTTACCCCAGCCAATATACAGAGCAGTGTTACCCCACCCAATATACAGAGCAGTGTTACCCCACCCAATATACAGAGCAGTGTTACCCAAGCCAATTTACAGAGCAGTGTTACCCTACCCAATATACAGAGCAGTGTTACCCCACCCAATATACAGAGCAGTGTTACCCCAGCCAATATACAGAACAGTATTACCCCACCCAATATACAGAGCAGTGTTACCCAAGCCAATATACAGAGCAGTGTTACCCTTCTCAATATACAGAGGAGTGTTACTCCACCCAATATACAGAGCAGTGTTACCCCACCCAATATACAGAGCAGTGTTACCCCACCCAATATACAGAGCAGTGTTACCACAGCCACTATACAGAGCAGTGTTACCCAAGCCAATATACACAGCAGTGTTACCCCAGCCAATATACAGAGCAGTGTTACCCTAGCCAATATACAGAGCAGTGTTACCCAACCCAATATACAGAGCAGTGTTACCCAAGCCAATTTACAGAGCAGTGTTACCCTACCCAATATACAGAGCAGTGTTACCCCAGCCAATATACAGAGCAGTGTTACCCCAGCCAATATACAGAAGAGTATTACCCCACCCAATATACAGACCAGTGTTACCCAAGCCAATATACAGAGCAGTGTTACCCTTCTCAATATACAGAGCAGTGTTACTTAAACCAATATACATAGCAGTGTTACCCCTACCAATATACAGAGCAGTGTTACCCCACCCAATATACAGAGCAGTGTTACCACAGCCACTATACAGAGCAGTGTTACCCCAGCCAATATACAGAGCAGTGTTACCCCACCCAATCTACAGAGCAGTGTTAGCCCAGCCAATATACACAACAGTATTACCCCACCCATTATACAGAGCAGTGTTACCCAAGCCAATATACAGAGCACTGTTACCCTACCCAATATACACAGCAGTGTTACCCCACCCAATATACAGAGCAGTGTTACCCATCCCAATATACAGAGCAGTGTTACCCCAACCAATATACAGAGCAGTGTTACCCAAGCCAATATACAGAGTAGTGTTACCCCACCCAATATACAGAGCAGTGTTACCCCACCCAATATACAGAGCAGTGTTACCCAAGCCTATATACAGAGCAGTGTTACCCTACCCAATATACAGAGCAGTGTTACCCCTCCCAATATACAGAGCAGTGTTACCCCAGTCAATATACAGAACAGTATTACCCCACCCAATATACAGAGCAGTGTTACCTCAGCCAATATACACAGCAGTGTTACCCCACCCAATATACAGAGCAGTGTTACCCATCCCAATATACAGAGCAGTGTTACCAAAGCCA